AGTGTTCATCTTCTTTACTTGAACCCTTGTAATTTTCTAACATTCTTATATGACATTGCAAGTTTAGTATTGAAACTCTCCTTCATTACAGTTCATGCATCAGCAGTCACATGACACACCTTGAGTACCTCTCTGACCTCACTCACCGAGATTATGGCTATTATACTATTGATTAGGGGTATGAGCTAGTGTGGGCTATTATACTATCATACTACAATCAAAATGCATGTGCATTTTGATACTGGCACCGCTTCAGGCACTCAGCTAGTACAATAAACTATGTTGTCCAAGTTTAAGATTGCTTATGCTCAAGAACATGTGGAGTAGTGCTTGATTACTATGCATTCGATTTATGTCCAAGCTAGATGATATGCATTAGAAAATAGTAGAATCGTGAGGAATTTAATTGGTTGAAACTTGAAATCTTGTAGCGAGTTTCAACATGATTAATCAAACAACATCCAAGATACAAAAGATCGCAAATTAGCCAATCCACAAGATCATAATTTTAATTCATACCTGAAGCTTGTCCAGTTGTTTGTTTACCTTCTCAATCTCCTTCTCCACTTCTGCCACCTGCAACAAGCAAAATATCCAGCATTTGAAAAGCATCTCAATTCTAAAAAGAAATATAATGATTTACAGGATATGAGTAGTTTATGGATTATTAATAGCACCTATTATTTTAATCATTAGTAGAAGGGAAAAAAAACTGACTTCGTATGTACAAACTAAATCAAATAGTACATATTATATATTCTACCCAATACTGGTGAGGGAATTATCTTTTTTGCTTTTCAGGTATTTTGCACAAATTTGCCTCATATGGCACCTTTATTTCTAGTTCTCTTTGGCTTATTCAGTGCCTTAGGGAATAATATGGTTCCCAAGATCATTTCAGTTTACCTATTAGCCTACACGCTCTTCTTTGATATATGGTATTTGAAGACTGATTGCATTAGTCTGTGTGAAAATTGTGGTCTGATGTACCCAGACCTTGGTTGTATAATACTAAAATGCATAGCCGGTAAAGGGAAGACTATTACTCGACTAGCCCCAAGTTTTCTTAGAATACCGCTCTCTACACAGAGTTGCCTCAGTTAGGAATTTGGAATGGTTTGTGTCTTGAATCCAGGTTACGAGGACCTAAGTAAATGAGTCTTGGAGCTAAGATTACTTCAACGTGTGATTTGAACTCATCACCTAATGGGTAAACCTTTTATGTCAAAATAATCTCACTCTACTATTAATGGAACACGTTTCAAGTTCCTCCTATTGCAACAACTAGTGTGCACCCCGTGCAAAACACGGCACCTTTTTTATTTCTGCTACAGTAATTCTTTTAAATGCTGCAGTATTCTGCTTTGCGAGCGATATTGCTGCAGTAATTCCTTGTAGCATGAAAAGTGAACCTTTGGATCGTTCTATAAGTATAGAAGAGTAGATTTGGTATCATAAACCATGGTGAAGACCAGCATAGGCTGACACAATGATACCTACAGATCCGCAGGTTCATGACTCTGTGAATGCTGTAATTATTTTGAACAATTAGACATGTGAAATGTGCAATCATAAGGGTGAATTCTAAAGGAGGTTTCAGATTTAAATCTAAGATGAACTCAGGTGTATAACATTATCAACAATGTTTTGTCTTAATGAATATAGATATAAAACGAAATAAGATAAAATTAATGTTCCCTCGAAGATAAATGTAAGAACACAATTATAGATTACCAGAAGTTGTTTGACCTCAACTTATGATTGAAATATACTCAATAAGCGTAGGGGAATTGTTGTGATGTTCATGTACGAGTGTAGTTCAACATCAGAGAAATAAAAAAGAATGATGAAGTAAATAGAAGGTTGAAGGAAACCTAAATGCTATTCTTGGACTAAATTGGTTATCAGGTCATATTTAAAGTTCATATTTCTCGTTAAGTGGCCTCATATCTGTTGCGCGTCGGCGGAAGCGTGCTCGCAAACCAAACACCCACACGAGTCGGCGAACAGAGAAGAACAACCAACGAGTGCAATTCACAAAAAGAACGGCACAAACCAATCACAAACACAGATATTTACGTTGTTCGCAAATTGCCTACATCCACAGGGAGAGGATGAAGAGTTTTCACTATATAGAGGAGAAAAACAATGGGTTACAACTCTCAAACACTCAAAATAACCCTCACCAAAAGATCTCAACTCACCTATCAGAAATCTCCCTCTCAAAGTGCTCAAAACAACCTCTTTTTCTCTCTACAAATCTCTTCTAAAACGTTCAATCTCCCTCTCAAAGTGCTCAAAACAACCTCTTTTTCTCTCTACAAATCTCTTCTAAAACGTTCTATATATATAGAAACCCTAAAACCAAAACAGAACCTCTTTTTCTCTCTACAAATCTCTTCTAAAACGTTCTATATATATAGAAACCCTAAAACCAAAACAGAATAGGAATCCAACAATTATAAAATCAAAACCAAAACAGACTAGGGATCCCAATAATTCTAAAACCAAAACCAAAATAGGCTAGGAATCATATTTGGCCCAATAACCTGCTATCCAACAATATCTCCCTAACTTAAAGGTGAAGATTTGACGGGTTTGAGTCTTGCATTCTATTCAAGTGCATCCAAGTTAAATCCAAGTTAAAAGGATGTGGAAGCAAATAAGATGAGAAGATGAATGCTTAATAGATGATTAACATCTAATATCTTAGTTCTTCGAATTAATATGGCCTCAATCTATTAGATTTTAGTCCCATAACACAGTCCTTATAATCAGTGTCATTCTTTGAATACAAAGTTTCAATCTATTAGATCTCGTAGCCTAGTTTTACGATGATCTTCATTCTTGCTTGACACCATCACACCACACCAGAGTAGATGACCGTTTTGGAGCGGTGTGAAACCTTGACTCAGAAATCTAGATTAGTTTGTCTTATCTTCTAATCTATCCTCTTACCTCCTCCTACTGTACTTCTCCCCCTTCTCCCTACTTACTCTTCATTTATATTCTATATTTTCCCTAACATATTTCTCAGGCATCTTGCGCCAATTTTTCAAAAGAAAAAAAAGAAAAAAAATAGAAAGAATAAATCAAATATGTTAGGAAATGGTGATTTCTCAAAAAATGAGCCATGCATAACTCTTAAATCTTAGTTTATGTTGTATGTGATTGGAAGAAAGCTTTCTATTTAGCTTGCATTCCTATAGAAAATAAAGATTATGGTGCAAAAGATAAAAGAGAACAAAAAGAGGGGAGATTTTACGCAATGCAAGGAAAAATACCTGCTTGAAAAAGCCATCCATATCCCTAGCGCGCACAGATCCACTAATGGATCCACGAAAGGATCCGCTAACGGATTCACTATCGCTCTCTCCAGCATACCGCCCTCGTATCCTCTCAAATGATTCCTAAAATAATAATAATAATAATAATAATAATAATAAAACAGTCATCTTTGATAAAGAAAATAACCGAAAATCCAATTTTTCCTATAAAAAACGCAATTCATCTTTCAATTAGTTAAAAGAATCATGAAATTGCAACGAACCGTCATAAGATTAAACATCTTGATCGAGAAATTTGGCCGGCGAGGGCCAAATCGAGGAGGAGATTAGGGTTTTCAAACTTTCTTCCCAAGAAATCAAAAAGGGAAGAAATTAACACAAAAACTAAGCAAATTTGGGGTATTTTTTTGATTGGGAGCATGGAATTCGCCATTGTGAGCTTAAAAAAGAAAATAAAAAAGAAATTTGCTAAAATTAGGGGGAAATATTATTGGGTATTCGCTTTTTCTTGCAATGGAGCTTAAACTATACTACTTCCGACAGTTGATGACGCGGCGAATTTTCATTAGATGGATCTTTCCGCGAAATTTTGAAACATAGAAGCTTCGAATAGCACGTAAGGAGTATTAATGGGCTGAGGTTAGGCCCATACCAAAC